GGGGGGCGGGGAGGCAGAGGCAGATACGAGCGTGCCACCACGCTTGAATAATGAATAAAGCTGCTGATGAAAGCAATGGCCATTAAGACAAAGAGAAAAAAAAGTACATAGAGTATTGAAACGTGTCCAGTATACATGGAAACAACAAAGTTGAGAAGAAGAAGCAAAGATAAAAAACCGCGATGAAATCGTATGCGAGTAGTATAAGTAAACAACATCATCTCACAACTACCAGGAAAAAAGTATGAACGTGATGCTAGAAAGATACACTGATCTAGTTATTATAGAAGAATAATACATCCAGCTTGAAAAGTCTTGAGAAGTAAGGAATGTTAAACGCCTCAACGTGTATTTTAGAAGCAATGTATCCACTTGAAACATTGACAACATAGGTAAGTGAATAATGAGTGTTTAAATGAGGCAGACGAAAATATGTTTTAAAATGGACTGAAGTAACTTCCCCCATAGAGTTTCAGCATACTGCTTTGAAGTTCAAAGGATTTGAATTACACGCAAAGAGAATCGTTTTTAGGACACTTTTTGAAGATGCCAACCAGTTGGTGGCATGTCAGACTAAATTTGCCATAATAAGAACGCGAATTGAGCTTGTTTAAAATTAACAGGAAAGCTGTACTGGTGGCACTTCGGGTTATTAAAAACTTAAAAATGCTCATTACGGAAACAGTAAATGTGTAAACTTTTAAAAAGTACAATGAACAAAATTGAAAAGGCTTAAATTGCTGACGAGACAACAAATGTTATTTTAAAAGCAATTTATCCACTTGAAGCGTTGACAACATTGGTAAGTGAATAATGAATGTTTAAAGAATGACGCTGAACAATAAAGTGGCTACAATTTCTGCTCGCTGGCGAACTGGACATGTGCACGATAAGGAAGAAACGGACTGGTGTGAGTAACAATATCTAAGACAAATGTTGTGGCAGTTTATCTTTGAAGACGAAGCAAGAGTGCAGTAGACGACTATATTTATGCTTGAAGCTCAACTGGTAGAACAATAGGTGCATATTTGAGTATGATATTCGGCTTACGAGTTTTCAACAATTTGGCAAAGGGTACTGTCTTTGACAATATACCTTTTCTTATCAAGCAACGGCTCACAAAAGTCGCAAAAAACAAAAATAAAACCCAACAAAAATAAAAGCAGAAATTCAAAGCGTTGCTAAGAAATGGTTAGACGATAATGAATGCCCAATATAAGATAAAGTTCGAAATGTATTAGGAACAAAAAGACGAAATGTAATAAAGACGAATGAACAAAGAACGGAACTGGAAACGGTCAGGAAGTAAGTTTACTTACTCCACAAAAGCTGGCGGAGTGTAGGACGTAATGGCCATAAAGACGCAGTTTACTAAAATGGTCATCATGACTAACAGACTGAAAATTGTGAGCATTGTTAAGAGAAAAAAAGGCTTTCATTAGTGACACGAATCATAACATCATACTTTGCATAGTAAAAAAGATGCTTCAATTTGAGTGAGCGTATAATTATAAGAAGATATTTTGTCTGAACTGATCTATTGTACAAAGATTAATGATTAGAAATCCATTAGCTAGTGAGTATAAAGCAGTATCTTTCTTATTACATAAAAAAACTACATCTGTGGCGTTTGTTAATAAGTGTACTGATAACTTATATACTTATGTATTACCAGGTAGAAAAATAATAGCAAGGACAAATTGGCAGAAAAGTGGAAAACTAAAAGCTTTCCATCATCTTACGAAGACTTAATGAAAGATAAATGAGCGACAGACGAGAATGGTTTGTAAGAATATAATAATACTGACGGGCTGTCAAAACAAAGAAACACGTTTCAGAGGCAATGAACGAAAACAAATTGAAAATGTGCTTTAACTCATTGGGGGGGGGGGGGGGGGGG